AAATAAATCATTTATTTATAAAATTAACAAATGAATATTCATCAAACTATTTACAATATTTTTGAATTTAGAGGAAACGTTTGAATATCTTTAAAAGAATTTAAAATGTATATTTTTTATCTTTTGCAGTACATGATTAAGTCAATTTGATTCAAGGCATATGCGCGGTTTTCTGCGCAGTGGCACAAAATTTTGAATTAGGTCTGTCGTCCTTAATTCAATATCAAATAGTCTATTTATAGTCCGTATATAACTATATAAAAAAAACAACCATTTCATAACACTATTTATTTCCTTTAAATATCTTTAACACGAATTTTAGTGGTTCGTGTTTGCTCTGCTAACAATTTGTATTGTTTCATTGGATGTTTTACCGATCACAGTAGCCTAGTGGTAGGGCGCTCGCTTCGTGATCGGGAGGCCCGGGTTCGATTCTCGTTCACGGCGCCGCGTCAAACCTAAGACGTAAACATAGGTAGTGACTGCTCCTTCGCCAAGCGCTCGGCACTAGAAGTGAAAGTCACGTACGGGTCTTTCGGATGAGACCTTAAAAACCGAGGTCCCGTGTCACGGTAGGCGTCGGCACGATAAAGAATCCTCACTGCTCAATGGCCCTGAGTGCCGAGTATAGGTCTAAATTTGAAGCCCTTCATCGGCATACGGTGACGTCTCTATATGAGTGAAAAATTCTCGAATGGGACGTTAAACAACATACAATCAATCAATCAATCCATTGGACGTTTGAGCTTGATTACTGTTCATTATCTTCATGGTTCATTTTTTAGCAAGCCTGTAAATTTCTGTACACCCGGCTTGAGTCGGGAATAAATAACGTAACGTGACGATGCACAGTAAAGCATGGTCTATATCAAAATAATATCGTACATATTTGGCAGTGTGGTCATTATTAAGAAAAGATGGGTGAACAAGGCGTGCAGAATGCCTATAGCTTCAGATGTATAAAAATCATATTCAATTTGTGAATTTAATATATATAGTAAAGTTCTTATTATTGAAATTTAAGAAATTATGATAAACAAAACTTTTCTCAGCAAAAATTGTTCTGTTATTAAATAATTATGTGGTTCTCTTGGGGTTCGAACTCAGCAATTAAAATCCTGAGAATCATTTTTCTTTGACACTAACACGCTAACCACCACAACTCTTAATGAAAAAATGGCATTTAAATCATGTTTATGATATGACCCTTGACTAAATGAACTTCAAGTATTTCTCGGAAAAATGTGAATGATGTTGTGTCATAAAAGTGTATTTTTATGGTAAAGTAGGTCTTTTTTCCATGTTTTTTGTTTACCAAAAAATGAAAATTTTTACGCAAACTTTGAGAACAAACTTTCCAAAAAAATGGAGCGAAGACCGGCTTGACCCACTCATATCGAAAAATGATATAATTATGAGAAAATGATCCTTTTTGCCCACCTTAGTGTGTGTGTGTGAGGGTGTGTGTGTGTGTGTGTGTGTGCTATTTCATAGGCAAATAATTTCAATCTTTATGAGAATTTTGTAAACTGTGGAGATTTATCATAAAGTATACTTTAATGTTAGATGAAATATTGAAGAAAATTTTGTTTTAATTGAGATTTAATTTTTCATCTTCATGTTTGTTGCACTATAGGCATTTTGGTCGCCTCTTCGCCCATCTTCTTAACAGCATTTGTCTACGAACTTATGGACAACCCTCGTAATTCTTATGTTTATTCTTGAGCTTATATCTTAATAATGTTACGAAAATTAAATGTGACACATTTCATATCAATCTAGGACAATAATGCATGTATTTAATTCCCTGATGGTGTACTTTGAGCTGATTTAGTAATTGTATAGTAGTTAACGCACTTCTTTTTATCAAATTCTTATTGTTTTGCGTTTCTTTATTTTCTATTTATTTTAAATTGACACATCTCATATATTGCCAAACACTTGCAATGTCTCTAAATCCCATTTTAAGGTGGCCCAGTTGCAATTCCAACTTTGGATTTTGTTTAACCACAATTTTAGATAATTGGTAACTCCCTGGAACAACAACGTGCCGCGATTGCGGCTTTTTTTTTTTTTACATTCAATGTTATAACATACTGTCAAGGTTTCAAAATCTGTTACGCTTTTAGAAATCTTATTATTCATATCCAGTCATCTTTAAAAAAAAATACAAAATCATGGCATCTTGGTCTCTCAGAATTATTATTATTATTATTTTTTATTTTGCACAATTATTCATGTTTGTCATTCTTTTGCTCTCTGGTGATATTGAAACAAACCCAAGCCCGTCTACTGAAAACTCTCTTGATATCTTACATCAAAATATTAGAAGCATTAGAAATAAGATTGATTCTCTATTGTATTTATAGTTCAACATTTTGATATCCTGTGTTTTAGTGAGACTCACTTGGACTCCCATGTTACAAATGAAAGTTTATTCATAGAAGATTTAAAAACATTTTAGAAAAGATCGAAATTCTTATGGTGGGGGAGTAATGATGTTTGTTTCAAATTTAATTAAGGCCAGTCGTAGAGAAGATTTAGAACCCATTGATACTGAACTCATCTGGATAGAAATACCACAAGTAAAGGGAAATCTACTTATATGCTATATTTACCGTCCACCACACACTAGTAGTGTCTTTTGGCAAAACCTATCTTGATCTATTGAAAAAGTCAGTTATATCTCCAGCAATTATATTGTAATACTTGGTGACCTAAACACTGATTTCTCAAAAGTAAATAACTCACACGAGGTTCATACAATTATGAATAGCAATAGATTAACAAATATTATACATGAACCTACAAAGAAGTACTTGCAATACAGAAATCTTCATAGATCCTATCATTATTAGTGACAATATACATGTACATGATTCTGGAACTTTAAAAGTTAGTAATACACTTAGTGATCATCGAGCAACTTATATATACATTCATCAGAATACCAATGTTAATGCAGCATATAAACGTAAAATTTGGAATTAGAACCATGCAGATTTAGAAGTACTTAATAAATTAACCCTACAATGTGACTGGTTCATGTGGGCTACTAGAAGATGCATACCATCTGTTTTTCGTTTGTAAAAATTTATGCAAAAGCAAGGAATTCCTTAATGAATAAGCTACATTGTCATTTAATAAGTTATAGATGTACATTTAATGCTATGGGGTCTAACGAACAAAATGTTGAACTTTTCAAGATTATTCAAACTCTTCTAAATGAATGTGGTCTTATTTTCTTTCTATTACAGAAACTACTATATATGTAGTAGACCATATATATACATTTATTTTATTTTGGCAATTTTACAAAATGTTGTGTTAGGAGAAGACTGTCTAAGTTTTTGAACTTGTGTCTAATCCTTTTGACTCTTTGTCAATAAAATATGTTCAATTCAATTCATTCAGTAAGCGGGAAAATGTCTCAAAAATCTTAACCATGGTATGATAATGGGTACTCAACAACTCTTGATATAGGGATTATTGAGATATAAAGTAATCTCTGTAACATTAGCAGTATGTCGGGTAAATATAAGATAATTTGTATGAAGCAATTTTGCTTAGTTTTCATAGTTCAAAATGATGTTGTTTTTTTTTTGTTTTTTTTTTTCAAATTTTCCCCTAAAGAAGACATCTTATTTCGCAAGGCTGTCATAAATTCGTGTCTAGACCATAACTCTCAAATCCTTGTTTGACATAGATTCAAAATTTTACATACTGCCACTGATGACCTAATTGAGAGGTGTGGCTTCGACTCAAGGTCAAATTGCAAATATCAAGGTTAATGGGATTTTGAGTCAACGGATTCTAATACGTGTACATTCATCCCCTAAAATGTTATTATACCTTGACAATCAAGATAAGGTCAATGTTATAACTTTTTTAATTAAACCGATAAAATTTCAAACATGCAAGTACATGATTTTTTTCTTAAAAGTTTGTTTGCTTTAACCTTGCATTTATATCTGAAATAAAATGGTAAGATAACGAACAATAATCGATCTCAAATATGTTTTAACAATACAAATCTGTGGACATGCCATAAAACACGAACCCCTGGAATTTTTAGATATTGGAACAGGTGAGTAAGCATCCCCTTTTGACCAGTCACATCCGCCGTGAACTCTATGTATTGGGTGTATATCTCTCAGTTGATTCGATACGCAAGAGCATGCTCTACATATGAACAATTTCTAAAAAGAGGTAAGTTATCGACAAACAAATTGATGAAACAAGAATATCAACAGTTTATTTTAAAGTCATCGTTTTGTAAGTTCTTAATACAATGACCTTGTCAGCAAATACAATCTATCATTAAGTCATATGCTGACCGACGTTTGTCATACAACATGTAATTGTAAAGCCATTATTTACACCCGGAATTGTCGACCGACTTTTCCGTTATTTACCAATCACGACAAGGAGCACACGGCGGGTGTGACCGCTCGGCAGGGGGTGCTCACTCCTCCATAGCACTAGCTTGATCCCACCTCTGATGTTTTTTGAGGTCCATGTTTGTTCTGCTCCCGATTTGAAGTGTTTTAATGGACTTTGAGCTTGAATACTGTTCGTTATCTCCATATTTCATTGATCAGGTGGACGGAATAATCCTACTCTAATTTAGTATAAAAATAATTATCTCAATTGGTATGAATCATGACCCAGGGATAGGTTGTTTGCAAACAAAGTCGTAATAAAGACCATAAAATTTTCCAAATGCTGACTTTAAATCAAACGAGGTTGTTCACATCCTTGTAACATCTATTTATTTGTCAGTATCCTGTATTGGTTTAAAACCTGATGATACTCAATACATGCTCTTGCAGATGGAATAAGTAGAGAAACAAAAACATCATATTCAGGTGATAGTGGAATATTACTACTTATGTAAGGTAAGTTGACAATGGAAATTAAAAGCTGAAGTCTTCTCATTTGTCATAGGGTTTTGCTGTTAGTTGACCATTACCAAAATGACAAATAAAAAATACTAATAATAACTTGCAACTATTTATTACAAAGCTTATATTCTCCATTTCAATCTGTACATCATGAACATGTACATCTGCAAAAGATTTTGAAATCCCTTAAACATTTTTATTTAACATTTCTCCTCAGGAAAAGCATATTTTCATGACCATATATTTAATAAGATGTTCTATTACGTTTGCTCTCATTCTTCAAATACTGATGAAAATCAATACTGTTATCTTTGGTCAATGAAAAATTTACTCATGTATTGACAACATCATCATGTAATTGTATAAAATATATACAATAAAATACTAAAAAAAAATCATGTCAATGAATAGTTCTATTTAACACTTAAAACACAGTATCACAAATTTGGAACAAAATAAAAATAGTTGTTTGAACACATCTTGTAAGTTAAGACAAATACGCATTTGTATTATGTATGTATTTCCATTTGGCACAATCTTTATACTGGAAGACATTAACAAGTTCAAGAAATAAAAGTAAAAAAAAAGTAACTTTACAGGAGATAAAAATAATTACACCTGTAGATGAACATCTGACTTACAATAAAATCATGACCAGATCTTATTTTCACTCTTGCTAATTTATTATTTTAAAACCTCTTTCTTAACATTGATGTCAATGCACAATATTTCAGGAAAATATGAGAAAAGAAAATCACAATCATAACAAGTTAACAGATTTTTAGGGGAACTTAAATATGAAGATCAAAAATGAATGTTTTTCATCAGTAATGACATACTAAATTAATAAATTTACTTAATACTGCTTAGGTTTGCATGTATATACTGTAAATTTTCGTGAGACCTTATTTCGCGAGATAGTCATGTAGTCACGTTTTTGGTTATTGCTCTATATAATCTTACGGAATACTAATGAGATTTTCGCGAGCACACTGTCTCGCATACATGTAATTATGTGAAACAAACTTCTCATGAAAAAAAAGGTGATATACAGTATATCAAATCATTAAATTAAACTCAATAATGAGTGTACAACAAAATTATATTAGAAGCAAAATAGACCAAAAATTTTGAAGTAAAAATGCAGAAAAAAAAATGGCATAAACTGAGAAAAGAAGAACAATAAGAAGATGATAAATGATGAATTCTGTCAATACTGTATTTTCACTCAGGTAAGCAAGAGGTTCAATGGATTTTGTGGTCACCTGAACATAATGTTACTCAACCCCTGACAAAGTCAGCCCAACTTGGAACCGAATTAAACTGGATTTACAATGTATGTGTAATGAATTTTACAACTTGGTGAGAATTCTTTGTTCATTATCAGATTTATGAAGCTTTTCTCTTATAACCTCAGAAGTAAAGAAAATATAATAAACTTAGCCCCACCATAGAATCTGAGCCTTGGACAAGCAATTTTGAAAAAAGATCAATATCTTAATACCATTATACATATTTTGCTAATACTACATTTTACAGAGGCCAATACAAAGAAGTTTATTATAAAATGTAATTATTTTAAATACATCTCCAAAATTTTCCCCATCCTTGGGCCTGAGGTTTGGACCAAGGGGTCATGAATTTTATTTGATTGAGGGCTAGCTCCATCATGCAAACAGATTACACCCTGAATGATCAGGATAATCATGATAATAGAAGATTTTTTTGAAGATAGCATGAATTTTGATGCTTTTGGACCCATCCATAACTGATGCCCCATGGGGACCCCAATCATGAAATTCATAATATTTGTTCCCTTTTATCTATAAATGCTTTACACTATGTTTATTTTTTAAATTTGTTCTAACAGTTAGTATTTCAGTAATGAAAAAAAGGTAATGAATGACACATATGACAAAGGTCAGGAACCTAAAGCCATAGGTCACTTAAGTGCCTTGAGAAGTTTTTTTTTTTTTTTTTTTGTTTATAAATGTAATAGCAACAGTAGACAGTTTCTAATACATATTCTTGTTCTAAAAAGTATTCCTTTTCTTAAACTCCTATTCAGAATCCTCAGTCTGATTAAAATCAGCCCCCCTTCTCCTTTCACTCATATCAGACTGCAGAATCCTAAAATTCTCTTTTCAAAAATTGTTGATGAAAAAAAACCAAAAAGCTTATATCTGTATATTTGATCCCAAAAGTTTTATTCTTGGATAATTTACCATGGATAGAAGGAAAGAAATGTGTGGCCCAATTCCTAGCTCAGTATAAAAACACAAACTATATGAATATTACCAGCTCTAAGAAAAGCAAAGTTGAGTATTAAATCAAAATTGACCTGATTTAATCTAATACTAAGCGAAGACTAACTTTTATCAATTGGACAACTTTCCATCATTCAAATGATTCACAAGAAACGGTTTATCAAATGGGACTTCAACAATTTCCTCCTCTCCAATTTCTTCTTCGGCTTCATCCTCTTCATCCTTTTCCTCATTATACTCAAACAACAGCTTGGCCAGTTGTGCTCTTGTGGCCAAATGCTGATGTTGTCTTTCTTGGCAGTGGTTTCTTTGAAGGCTGATTCCTTCACTACAGGTTATATTCTGCCAGCGAAGTTTTAGGGATGGCTCGGCAGCTCGGAAAATGTGCAGCTTCTGATATTTCAGAAACATATTGATCAAAGAGAAGTTTTTCACTTCAACCGCAGTCAATGAACGCCTAGCTTTCTGAAAATCAGACACATAAAAAGAAGTGTGGACAAAGGACAGAGGGTCAAAATGTCCATACTTTTGGTTCAGTTCCACCAAGTCAGGATAGGGTTTCTGGTCGTAAGCCAGATTTGGTTTGTACTGCCAATAAGAAATAGGGGAGAATATCTGTACTCCAGCAATGGCGTTCATTCTTATTCTGTTTATATAATCCAGGTCCAGTTCCATAGCTGGGGTTGCTATGGTAACCAGTGTGCTCGCACTGAAGTCTGAAATTATCACATCATAGACTTCGATCTCTTTTATTGTGGAGTAATTCATTTCGACACTTTTAGACATGATCTTGTTGTTGGCATTGGGTAGGGAGGTTATGGAAGTGATGGTAGATTTAACACGAACAAATGGATCTGAAGAGAATTTTTCCTTCTTGTACAACAGATAAATGCATAATACAGAATTATCTTTGGTTTCTATGAGATTTCTTTGAAATTCACTTAAAAATTTAAATCCCTCTTCAATGTCTTGTTCAAACAGTGGGAGAATAATGAAAACTTGTGAAGTCTCCGTTACATAGGGCATGGGAACCAGTTCTGGTTTATTGAGAGGTCGCAGCAGATGAAACCTCTTCAGCACATCACTGTTTGTGTTTTTATCTCTCAGCTTCAGGTCTAGTTTGTACTCCATGCCACGTGATGGTTCAAATCGCCGATAGCCATTGAGAAGTTGAAATTTGCTGAACTTGTTGTGGTAAAGTTTGTTGGCTCTCTTAAAAGCTGTTTTTAAGATTTCTTGAATGTCTTGTTTATCAACTCCTGGAATTTTTTAAAAAGTTACTTTTTATTTAATACTTACGTACTGTATCTTTAATATCATTAGCTTGTTTCAATTTAAGATTGAGGCATTTCAAGCACTGGTGAGAAAGCCCATTGAATATATAAATTTACATGTACATCCGGTCATGTCAAATGTTCATGAACTAGACCAACTGGTCGTGTGGATGAAATAAATGTTAACCCTCATTTCAGTCTTTCAAATAAATGTTCTAAAAACTTTTTAAAGAAATTTTCTTAATTTTCTGATTGTAAACACAGCCATCGCTCTGAAAATGAAAACTTTCCCGCATGACACAATCGCTATTTTTAGCCCGGCTGTAATAGACAAGTCTCAATCGAAACTAGCTTTGTTCAGTATCAATTGGTATGAATAGTCATTGAATAATATAGTCTTTAACTTATTTACATGTATATTTACAGTAATAATTTTATTTAAGTTCCTTTAATGTTCTTTAAGGAGGGATTCTTCTCTTATTCTACTCATATTTCTTGTATTTAAAAATTAATGAAATTTTCATAGATTCAAGAAGACAATATCACTAAGTGATGGTATCAATTAGAATAAATTTGACCGTTTTATTTTAGAAACAAGGTCAGGTCAAGGTCATTATCTTTTTCCTTGACATTTAGGGTAAAAAATTACTGTTGCTAATCATGTGATGCCTACTTCTATTTTAAAAGATAAAATGTTTTTCTTTTTGCACAAAAAGATGTTAACATATCGGGTCTATCAGATGATTCTACCAAATTAATTGACATTATTTAACTTAAATAGATATTGGCTAATCCGGATTTCCTCTGTTTTTCTTAATTTTTTAGGATATATTAGTTATTTTTATATACTTCTTATATTTAAATATTTCTTGTTTTTACATATGATAAAGTAGTCAAGGACATATAAATATACAAAATGATACAAAAACAAAAAGCTTTGACCATTTAGTAAGAGAGAAAAAACACTTTTTACTGATTTTTTGCTCAAATCTGTTTTAAGGTTGGAGGCTTTCAAAAGCTAACAAGATTGTAGTTTGTTTAGAAAATCATTTTTATTTGCTATGTTTTAAAACTTTAGGGCATTATTATTAATTTTAGTTACATATCAAAACTTCTTCAAGTCTTTGATTGTTTAAAAAAATTAACCACATGTTATGTTCTATAAGTGATTTTGATAGGCAGAAAAGGAGCTATTTTCATACGCCGCAGTTGCGCCAAAAATATAGTTCCTTGTGGATTTCAAACTCAGTTTACCATTTCTATTTAAAATTGTACAATTCTGATGAGTAAAGAAAAATATGATCTTTTAAATACATTACAGCTAAGTTTATAAGACATACAAGCAAATATACTTGGAATATTTCATCAAGTCAGAAACCAGACAAGAATCCCTCTTTAGAGCTTATGATATTCGCATGTTCCGCTTAACCTGACTCATTGGGATGTGACCTATGGATCAGTCTGTCAAAATGTATACCTTAACAGGCGTGAGAGATAGTATGGTTTCGAAACTTTTTTTCATTATAATAGCAGGTTATAAAAAAAAAATTTTCATGTTTGGTCAGGGCTACTGATTTTATGGTCAGGGCTAGTAAATGTAATGGGAAGTAGCCCCACTGGTCTAGTACTCATAAAAGTTAATGTCAAACCCTGCTAAAATAAATTAACTTTTGATTTTTTTTTAAACAATTTTGCCTGAAAAATTTCCAATAGATTGTTACAAAATGATAGTGTTATATGCTTTCTGAGTGGGAAAAATCATTTCAAACATAGTTAAGAAAGACAACTTCTCACCACTGAGAGGACTCAAGTTTGTGAAATCATCCTCAAAGTAGATGTGAGATTCTGTAAAGTAGTTCCATCTTAAAACATCAAATCTTTTCTTTGGTCTAGTAGCCTCTGGTGTACCTGTAAACGAAAAAGAACTGATCAGCTAAGTAAAAATTCTAACCAAACATTCAAGAAGCAGTCTTAAATTTAAATACAGTCAAACCTTGTTATATCAAACTCAGTGGGACCGAGAAAAAAATCTGAGATATCGAAGGATTTGAGATATCCAGGGTAAAATACTTAAAGAATGAGGGGTTGGGACTTGTAAATCACTTCAACATATCCATGGTATTCGAGGTATCAGTGTTCAAGATACAAAGTTCAAAAGTTACTGTACATGAAAACTTTCAATCAGCAAGGGCACTATATACATGTATTTTAAATACAGACTCATTCTTTAAAACTGTGAGTGAAACTTTTTTCTCCACCCTGTTCTTATGTGACATGTACCGGGTTACTATACTGAGCAAAAGAATATGGACTGTTGCCCTGCTACTGTATTAATTGACCCTTTTGGTACAGGGTCCTATATGAGAATTTTTAACTTGAAAAGTTACAGAATTTGGAAACCTAATGTTTTTTTCTGTTCTAATAAAAACAGTTTGTATGCTTTTCATATATTCACGTTCACATCTTTATCAGTGTTTATAATCCATTAAAACCTAAAAATTTGAAGTTTTTTTAATTTAAAAAAAAAAAGGGAAAATTAATCTGCTTCTCATTTTGGAATTTTTACTTTAATTTGGGGAAAAAGAGAGTCAATGAATTTCTCATTGGGACTGCATGGATGCTTTTACAGACCCTGAAACGTGCTACTACCCCAAAAAAGCATGTGACTTTTGTGCGCTTTTTGTTTCGTGCAAACCGTGTAGCGTTTCGTGTAAACTGTGCAGCGTTTCGTGTAAGCTCCAAAGCGTTTCATGCAAACTGTGTAGCGAGCGTGCGAGAAATGTGCGACTTTCGTGTAAGAACCGTGTGAGAAACAAGCGACTTTCGTGTAAGCATCGTGTGAGAAATAGTCGGATTCATTCAGAAGTCATTTTATTTTAAATATGGCTATTGATGGATCAACATGTCATTCTGTGTTGTTTATAACTAATATTGATTGGATATATCTTACCGGTGGTATTTTAAAAGTAAAAAAATACGGAAACAACAAAATAAAATTACTTGGTAATGTATTACAAATTTGTTTTATTTTCTTTCTTTTTTTTATTTAATTAAGGAATGTTTTTAAGTTTTGTGTGAGTTACTGGTGTGTAAATCACACAGACTTGTCACGTAGGCATATTTCATGAAGCGCGCTAGCGCTTCATGAAAAAATATGCCTACATGCAAGTCTGATTGATTTACACACCAATAATTCACACTAAACTTAAAAACATTCCTTATATTTGCATTTTACAACTTTAAAAACACCAGTTATATACTCAATATTTGAATTTCTTGCTGCCCTATATCGTTACATTTTTATTAACGTCTCTGTAGCCTCATTGTGACGTCACTTTAGCGCGAGTTTCACCGTGTATATTTCTACGCGTGAGTATACACAAAAATGACTTTCAAATCAATTTCACAGTTGGCTTTGTAGAAAAACACAGCAAATGTAAATATATAAAGATGGAAGAAAATTTTGTTCAAAGTAATTAATTATATGCACATTAAGGTATTTGATTCAATACATTTTTTTTACATGGAGCAATACTGAACATTTTTAAAGAAAATTCCTCAGAAATTTGGTCTTGTTCTTTTCATTCATTTATTTGAACATCTTTACCATTTTACAATTAAGGTATATAAAGATTACAAGAACATATGGGTGATTAATACAAAATAACAGATAAATAAAGCAGGCATGAAAAATAAAATACAAAATTTAGCGCGGTGCTATAAATGTGAAGTATGGGAATTCTAGGCCGGGCAGCACAGTTTACTTAATTTATTTTCTTTATAAATGAACATAATTTTCTTATATTACAAGACTGTGATACAAATAATTTTGAAACGATTAGTCATTTTAGTCTTTTTATGCAGAAAAATTGGTTAATTAATAATTGTCACATAAATGAATTATAATTCACATGCATCAGCAAAATATTTCCGGAAAGGGGGGGGGGGGGGGGGTGTTCAAATGAAAACACAAACTTTGAGTTTTTGTTGTAAACAAGTGTTTTATAGATTATTTTCTTATAAAAGAAAATTACTGCTTTTTTGGGGTGTGCCCGAAGCACCCCTTAAAAATATATTGTAATTTTCTTTACACTTCCAACACTTCTTATGACTGTGATCAAGGTCATTTACAACAGCGATCATAAGCTCCGCGTGCCAGTGTACCGGGAACTGAAAACTTGTTCTGCTATTATCTCTTGTCTCTTGAAGAAACAGGACAATAACGATTGAATTTTAATTTTTGAAATTAAATGTTTTTATAAGTATTTTATGGGTTCAAATAAATACCCTTGGATTTTATTTCTTAAATTTATCCAAATGTCTGTAAACAGTGAATTAATTTGCCAGACTGGTGTATTCGTGAATAAAAAATATAAAGAAATAAATCAAAAATAATTATATATTAGTTGTTTTATTAATCACGCGGTTCTAGAGCATAATTTTTAGTTTTTTAGGACATTGGACATATATACATGTATATTGAATGTATTGTTAAGAGCTACGACTATTGATTTATACATTTTTTTTTTTGTCTAGACGGGGTTTAAAAATCAAGGATCTTACACCTTGGTGGTGGGTACCGGGATATATTATTTGATAAACACAATGCCTCATAAGAGATCTAAAGAATTACAATACCTATCCCCCCAACTTCTCTACCATATAAATTTTAATAATAAATTAGTTTAACACTGTAATGAAACGATAAACATGTATTTACCATTCTGAATAAAGTGCATTTATTGAATTACATGTATCTGGTCTCCCTGGAGATATATGAATATCCTTTTTTTTCTTAGAACGGGCACTTGTTTCTATAATAATTTTTTTCCCAATGGTATACTTACTGAAACAAGTGTCTGTTATATTTAACCATGTACAGATTTGAAGTTACAGCAGTAAGATCTCGGTAATCTACATCCCCCCCCCCCCCCTTTTCCTGCACAATGTTCCTGTTTGATGCAGTGTACATATTACCTTTGCAAATTATAAACATAACCTAATTTAATTTAATGAAATTATTTTTTACTAAATCAAAAAATGAATAAATCAATCAATAATTAAAAAATAAAGAAAAGAAATTCAATCTGTTTACAGAAGACATACGCAATTTAATCATTTTTTTTTTCCAAATCAATAACTGAGTTTATCATGTTTATTTGTCAGTAATAAAACGACTTTTAGATATAAAACCATATGTAATAACATTGTATGGTGTAAAAGATTATGAATTACAAATATAATTTTTTTTTCAGTGCATAATTTGGAGTACATGTACATAGACATTGATAGGCATTTTACCGGGCGGGTCACATACTAAATAACAACTATTCATTTATTACAACTGAACATTGAGTATTTTATCTTTTAATATAGTACTGGTGTAGCGAGTTTAAATTTTAAACTAATCTGAATGATTGCAATTCTTAACTAATCTAAACTAACCGTAATAATTTAAATAAAGACAGAGAGATTCCGAATAGAAAATCCAGATTGAGGCCAAAGCGTGCAAGAATCGCATACAAAGCGTGTGAGAAACATGTACATAGCGGGGTGATAGCGTTTCGTGCAGGCTTTCGTGTAAACCGTGCAGCCTTTCGTGCAAAGCATTTCGTGTAAACCGTGTAGCGTTTTGTGCAAACCGTGTAGCGTTTCGTGTAAACCGTGCAGTGAGTGTGTACCATTCGTGTAGCGTGCGTGTGGGGTAGTAGCATGTTTCAGGGTCTGTAGTAGACCAATATGCAATTGATATTAAGCCGTCTGAGGAACTGATTTTTTTTTTTTTTACATCATGCTCCTTTGTGAAAAAGATCAGGGTATACTAAGCAGTAGAATGTAGACTGTCGCCCTACATGTACCTATAGGCCACGTCAGTGAGTTGACTATATTAAGCAGTAGAATATAGACAGTGATCCTACCTATAGGCCATGTCAGCGAATTGACTCCATCTACGGTGTAATGACTCAGATGAATTATGTTTTCTTTGGCTTTATTAATCTCTAGTCTTGTCAAATTCAACTCCAACTGGCAGAAATACCTATGAAAGTTATAAAATAACTAATAAAATTATTCAATTTAAAAATTCATGTTTAAAATATTCCAACACAGCATTTTGATAAAACTAAAAAAAAAATTTTATAAAAATAAAAAAAATGTGAATTTTTTGTTTTTTTACAAAATTTACATCAGCTAGCCTGACTGGCAATTAAAAAAAGGCTCAAACATTGCAAAAATTACATAGATTTACATTCTGTAAAGGGTTAGGATCACTACCAGTAGACCCAGTACTGTACCTGTGCACTTTAAAGTGGGACAGATCATCTGGCATGGGATAAATGGAGAAAGATGAATTGAAGCGCCAGTCCTCTCGCAATGTTGTGATGTCATCATCATAATCAAAGTCATCCACTTTATAAAATCTATATTCTTTATCCTGGAAATAGATAATTCATTAAAAAAAAAATTCATATATTCCTTGAGTTACATGTAACATAAAAACAATTTACACATACATGTATTATATACTCTCAGGGATCTATAAATGTTGTTTTAACTACCAGAAAATGGAACCTTTTCCTTTTGTAAGAAATGTCAAATTTCACCTTTTAATTACAAACAAATTCCTGATTAAACATACATGTACATGTAACATTTAAAATATATTCATGATTTAATGATACCTCTAGAAATGACCCCAGGATTTGCTCTCAAAGTGTACATAATCTGATTAGCAACATTTGAATCTAAAAATACCCAGGGGGAATGCCCCCAGACTTTCATAATTACAGCTGAACTTCTGTATCTCTTACACTGTTATCAAAATGAGCTGGAAGTCCCAACTTCTCTTTTTCTATGCAGTTTTACCTCAACATCTCAAACCCACAGAAATCTCACTCTGTATTTCTCAGACTCATTGAGTTTGAGATAACAATGTTTGACTGTATATCCACACTCCAGCACTAATGTCAAGCAATCATTCTCCCCCCCCCCCCCCCCCTTATCTAAAAGGGGGAGGGGGTAGTAAATAAAATAGCTAGATAGATCCCTGGTTTTATCAATGTGTAAAAAAAAAATAAGCAGAAACGTCTGGTTTTGTGTGCTGTTTTTTCATATTTAGCGTAAACACTACAAAACACCGATTCAATTTTTACCCCTCCATGTTGAGTACAGGACAACTTTGTGGAATGTTGAACGCAATGATCAAACACATGAGTTGGAATGGAATCTGGGGAGCTGACAAGACACCAGTCTAAATTGGCAAGGATCTTCTGTAGGATTGACTGGAAAAAAAATCACAATCATTTTCAAGAATCGGTCTCCATATTTACATAGTATAATCGGTATTCATTTTTCTTAAAAGCAAATTCAAAGAATGAAGTAATATGAAACATCTAAAACAATTTTCATAGCACAAAAATTTTGGACAGTTTTTAAGAGATGACTCAGATGAGCAGAATAAAATGATGGCATAAGATTTGATACACAAAACAACAATGTAAAATTCAATCACCATAGTATTACATTTCTACAAAATAAATTCAATGGATCTGATCACTTTTCCAACCTACATCATGTACATGTAATTTCATGTATTTGTGACCTGAAGTCTGAATTTAAAGCATGGTGCTAATAAAACAAAAAAATGTTAATATTACTTGAGATATAATGATTCCTCCTTCCAGAGAGCACATAGTGGCACCACCATCACCATGAATATCAGCAGCACCCATGAAAATGTCCTCACTCACACTTATGTGACTGACAAGCTCAAAAATTTTCTCAGCTCTTATGTAGGTTCTGTCAGTTATAAACATGTAATAGTCATAGTTACGAGAATAATGCTCTGAAATATACTTTAACACATGTAGTGGTAGATGTTTGTTATCCTTATCTGTGAAACTGACAAGAGGCATTCCTGCTGGCACATTCCCCGACTTAGAAGTGCTGAAATATACTTGTTTAGTTACATAATGTGCTGTGGTTTTATTTACAGCCAAAGCAAATGAGTTTACTGTATCTTGACTTGTTAATACTGCTACAAACAGTTTCTCTCGAATTCCCAGCTCCGTGGCCACGAATCTAGGCCGTACTGGCTTTTTATGTGGGTCATTCTCCAGCTTCAGGGGTGGGGGTATGTCATATTTCTTTGGTTTAATTCTTGGTTGTACAGTTTCACTGGGTTTCTCAGATTCATAAAGTGACTTTGTCTCCCTCAGTTTGATAAGCTGTTTTCTATTTATGTTCGAAGGGTCACAGGTTTCGTCAAGGAGGGGAGCTATCATCACATTCAGTGTGAATCCCAAACATACTCCAATCAACACAGGTAAACAAGAACGAATTCCGGTGTGTATCATCTTATCCTTCAAAGACATGAAAGACCTTTAACTCCAAGCTAAAGCGTAAAGGATTCGCTTTGGGGCTACATCAAATCATTAGGTAGCGTTGGCACAATATTATTATGCCAGCATCCACAAAAAAAATATTTTCCCACGGTATATTAATGTAATTATTTTACAAAACGATTATTTTTTCTGAGTATACTAGATAGACTTTTTTATTGTATTGAAATTAATAATCTTATTCCTATCAGAAAAAAGTATTTTGCACTTATTTAATGTAATCATTTGCAAGTTGTATTAACTATTTTATTTTCGTTTTGAAAAAAATGAGAAAACAAAATTCCTTAGAACCTCAATCATTAAAACGCTTCATGAGACGGAACATGTAGTCAAGCATTGAATGCACAAAGATTAAAAAGTTTAGAAGCAAGACGAAAGAATGGCAGCCGACCAGGTAAACGGTTTTGTCTCTTTAAATAGCCGGAAATTGTATAAATCAGTACACATATTTAAATATATATCATATATTTCATATATATATTGATGTTGTATCGAATAAGCTTATTTGATAAACATTTTCTAATAGTACAAGTAATGAATCAAGAATTTAAAGAAACGCGTTGTCATCCCGTCATCAAACAGGAGCTCGAGTTTCCTCTGTTCTTGTTTGCTTATAGGCATTGTTTTATTATGAGTTAAAATTTTTAACCATTGCTCGCACAGGAAATCATTTGAAGTATATGTTATGGAATTTATAACATATTTCAAATGAGTTCTTGTGCAAGAAATGGTAAAAAAAATCTTTAATTCAGCGAATAAACTTATATCAGTGGAACATGTTGATGGTGCTATTGTTAGGGCGAGTGCAGATATGTGTTACTGTTCCCTATTTAGTTTTGATTTAGATCTGCCTCTTTAAATCGCATGAGACATTTAGATTGTTTAGTCATTGTTTAGACTTAGGGTTCAATACTAACATTAGTCCTTCTCAGACTAGTATATTTTCATTCGGACTAATAAAATCTGTGGCTAATTAGTCCGAAAAGACCAATAAAAATTTCTGGAAAACAAAATGAATAAATTACTCAACAACTTTTACTGGGAAACACTGTATGTATAGTTTTAGCTTTCTAGCTTTTTGGCGGGTAGTTGGGCAATTCCTTTTCATAAAATTGTGTGCAGACTAGTAAAAGTAAAGAAGCACTACTCCAGCTGGACTAAAGCCACAGGTACTTGTGGACAGGACCCCCCCCCCCCGATATTCAACCCCGGGGCTTGTTGGACATTTTTTTCACGAATTGTATTTATTACACTTATTCATCATGTGTACCATAGGGAAAAATTGTGAAACCCCAAAATAATTGTTTCACACAAAAATACCCCACTATATATTATAAAAGAGAAAGGTATGCCACTCCGGTTTGTTTACCTTGTACCCCCACTGGTCTTTCTGGGTTTAAAAACATGTTTATATTTTATTTCAACCTAAAATGTTGGTTCACCCTGTCTCTACAATGCATAGAGAATACATTACTTATTATGATAACACCCGAGAGAGATTATTACGTCAGGCCAAAACTCTCTCGGATGTTATCGTAATAAGTGATACATTCTTGGCGTACTTCTGTTGCGTTTATACCTAAGGATTTTTCAACACAGTGACTGCAATGCTATTTAAGGAATAATTGTGGGATTCTTACAAGATGCAGAGTCAAACAGATAGCATGAACTAAGACGGAAATATATGTAGAGACAGGGTGAACCGACATTTTAGGTTGAAATAAAATATAAACATGGGGTCCTGTCCACAAGTACCTGTGGACTAAAGCCTAGGAATGTTAGTGTCAAACCGTGTTAGACTGTGACGTCACATGACTTTGGATGTTAAATGCATTACCATAACAAAGTCGGAAAGGTGCAAATTTTAACAAAGAATGTTTAATCTATTATCTATTTGCAATATTCATTATATCAAGGTGAATATATTATATTTTAAAATTTTGTTGTTACCAAGAGAACGTGGTTAGCAGCAAGATCCATTCGCGCATTGTGGATGTTGAGGTTACTGTGGGAAAAAATTCATCTGGATTAACATGATTAGTGTCCAAAATCTGAAATTTCTCTTTGCCCAAGGTTTTGTTGTTAGAGCTTGTGAGCAGCACTTCACGCTGTTAGATGCGCTTGCTATAAACGATAACTGAGTAGATGACAAATGACTAGGTCCTTCAATCTCATGATTTAGCTTTGTAGTAGCCCACAGCTTGAATTATTTCATTGAGATAATATATATATATAGCTTTAACAATTAATCAGTTAATAGCTTCGTCTTCTTGAATGATTTTATTTTCATAATAATGCCTTTCTATTTAAATAGGTTAAAATCAAAGATATGTGAGCATACTAATTTATATTTTCCACGTATGTGAAACAGTAATCTTTTTATTATGCTCTTCTGTAGATAGGTGGTGCCATTAAAAGTTTATAAGTTGCAATGAGACCTTCTGCCCATCAACTGTAATAAAATTTTTGTCAAGCATGATGTGAATGATAAAAATTCTGGAGCTTAAGAACCTACACAATTTTTCCTTTCAGAAAATGGAGGTTGATGGCACCACAGCAGTAAACCATGAAGGGATTAAACAGTACTATGTCAGTAAAATTGAAGAACTGCAGGTAATGGATTAGTTTCTAATATGTCCAACTGTTTATGCATTTTTGGGCGAGCACATTTTCCTTTATGTATTGATTTAATAAATTCTACACTTTGATCTTGGTTATGGATCTGCCATTTCCTTTTAAATTCTGCAAATCATTACACAATTTAAATAAATTCCAGCACTGTTCTTATGACTAATAAAAATTTTAAAGTTAAAGTTTTCTCAAACTTGATGACTTAGTCTTACCACACATTGGGATGAAGAATCCAAATTCTCGGACGATTTTGACAAAATCTGGAAAAACCTGGGTTGTTTTAAGAGACGAAAAATTGACACTGCATTATCAAATCATGTTTATTGAGTGTCAGACGGTATTTTGTGGCAGATAGAATAAAAAAAATTCTTTTTTGTAAATTTTTTAAAGTTGTTGCAGTCTTGCAGTGCTTTTTATTAGCCAGTATGTTACTATGCATGCAAACCACATTGTGAACACTCTTCAGAAATTTCTTCAAACAAGGTATAGATTTCAACCTGAATTTCCCATGTTTATACACACATATAGATATGTTTCTATTAGGGATTGCAATTTGTAACCGGTTGTACTAGGTCGGAAGGATGGTAATCAGTTGGAAATTCTATTTTAAAGGGTTTAGTTGAGAAAAAATTGAAATGTAAATTTTAACAAAATTTCCTGAAAATTCAATCAAAAAACTTTTGGACGTTGGTAAGTTAGCATTTTCACATATATCTACTTAGCTGATTTGGAAGTAATTGCATAGGCCAATAAAAAAAATGATTTTTAGATGTACTTCAACTGACCCATCAAAGTTGCCCCTACCCAATGAGTACTTTAAATTTTTTCTTATTTTTTTGAAAGCAGTTAAGGTTTATTATTTCTGTAAGACCCTTGAACTGATACATGTAAGGGCAACAAATCTGGGTGATGTTTCATAGTACACATTTGAACTTGTTGACAAAATATTTGTTGTGAACAAGTACATGTACTTGGGGTTTGCTGTAAATCTGCTTAATCCATCTGTAGACTGTAGAAACCTTAATATAAGGCCCCAAAAAATTAAATCAATCATTTCTCAGGCACCGCCACATCAGGTCAAAAACTGCTGCATTGATCAATTTTATATTGACATATTGAAAAGGGAAATAGCTCAATTTTCTATTTTTCCATTCGGGCAAGTTGAAAAAGAAAATGGAGTTATTCCCCTTTTCATACATGCTAATAGATTTTTTAGATGAACATAATAAACATATATTTCTAGTTAATAATACGATAAAGAAAAAAATATTTAATAAAAAAACCTGCCTGCCACATTGGATTTTAAAATTTTTGGCCTGAGAAACTATTGATTAATTTTTGTTGGCGCCTAAGTGGGAAAATTATCATCACCTACTTTTTTGAGAAGCACCACTTGCTAAATAAAATTAGATGGTGTATATATGTATAATGGAATGTGTACCACTTAACAATCTGAACTTTTTTCTTTCAGCTTATTGTTACAGACAAGACACAAAACTTAAGACGATTAGAAGCTCAGAGGAATGAACTAAATGCTAAAGGTAAAATATGAATACATATATAAAAACTATGCAGAATTTTGGAAAAAGTGAAAGATGAAGATAAAAGAGAAATTCTGTTCAGTTTACATTAGGGCTGTCACGGTTCCAAAATTTTTCAGGTTGGGTCAGTTCTGTAAATTTTCGGTTCAGTTATTTACATCTATTTTAATCCTTACTTTGGTGAATTTAACTTGAAAAATCTTTATTTGTTACGTTAAATTCACATTGAAAACAAGTTTTAACCATGTTAACGTCTAGCCATCGGTGTTAGGACTACTAGGCCTACTATTTGTCACAATGTGACCATTCCTGCTCGTTTTGATAATGATCTAATCCTTTCCTGACAAGTGTTTTGTCATGGAATGAAGTAGATTTCAGTTGTGATTTTCATTTATCACTGTTACCGTCTTTATTCTTTTGATTTCGACGCCATTTTATGTAATTAAACAGATTCTAATAGATAAATCAGATCTGAACCGAAATCCGGAAAAATGGAAACAAAACCGAACCAAACAACTTGGACCGCGGTTTTAGGTTATTTCAGGTACTCGTGACAGCCCTAGTTTACATGTTCTTTGGTACAGGACGACTTGAACAGCACCAGATACAGTGAAATGTGGTGTTCATCTATAGCAAGCCTCCTGGGACATTTACTTAAGAATAAGGACATGAGTATATAAATCATTTTGGAATGGAATGTTAAAGGAAGCAGACAAACTATTCACTCCTAGCTTTCACAGTTTTGTTCAGTGTTTGTTGTATATGTAGATTCACTGCCTTCATCATCTGTTCTCTCTTTAATAACTTTTTACTCACCATTTGTTATACAGTTGGCTCTCCACAAACATTTAGAGTAGTAGAACATTTCAAGGACTGTGTGACATAATTTTTCTACCGCATTTTTATTTTGTAAATATATCTTTTTCTAGTGAGAATGTTAAGAGAAGAACTCCAGCTCTTACAAGAACAAGGCTCCTATGTCGGGGAGGTTGTGAAACCCATGGACAAAAAGAAAGTGCTAGTCAAGGTATTAATAGAAAACTGATTGTAACTAAGTTATTGTAACTATCTTGTTAAGATGTATTGTAAATGTAGAAAATAAGAATCAAATCAACCATAATTGAATTATTTAACAGAAATAATTTGTCATATTAATTTACAGTTTGGCATCTAATTATTAAAAAACGAAAGAACTTATTTGTGCAACTTTGACGTACAGCAGCTTCTTGGGTTTATAATACACAGTCAAACTGCATTTTAATGAACTCCATGGGGCCGAGACAAAAACTTAAAGATTAACAAGTACTTCAGATGCGGAAATGATTTTCAGAAAAAAGTGGTTGTGACTTCCAAGTCACTTTAACATGCTCATGGTAATTGATATATCAATGTTTGAGATAACCAGGTTCAACTGTATAATAGAACAATAATATCATTTATAAAAGAATAAGATGGGATGATCAGCTTAGTTTAATTTATCCCTCCCTGTAGGATATTTGAAAGGTTTGTTGACACAGTACAATTTTTTTCAGGTACATCCAGAGGGAAAGTTTGTGGTGGACATAGACAAAAATATAGACATAAATGATGTGACTCCAAACTGCCGAGTAGCTCTTAGGAATGACAGTTACACATTACATAAAATTCTCCCAAACAAGGTAAGATGATACATTGTGTGAATTGTAGAATGTATATGAAACTCCAGTGTCAGCCAGCTGGTTTGTGAATTGTTACTTTTCAGCAGGACTGCCAACTTTTTAAAAGTAAATGCATTGCTAAATTCTAAGAATTTTGTGTACAGCACCTGACTTTTTTTGTTATGTTCATTTTCATGCAATTATAGGCAATTTCTGAAGAAATTAGCAATAAAAATTTGCTCGTACATGTATTTTTAATTATTATTATAAAAACAATTTATTTACAAGAACTTTTTTGACACATTTTGAGTCTTGCAAAAGTACACAGAAATAAAGTATTCACTTTTTAAAAAAAAAGAACAAAAAAAAAAAACAAAAAAAAACAAAAGATGTTACTTAAGTATTAAAAAAAAATTATAAAGTCACTACAAACATGAAGAAGTTGCAGCTATTGATTTGATTTACTATTAAATAAAGGTGGATCCTCTAGTGAGTTTGATGATGGTTGAAAAGGTGCCAGATTCAACATATGAGATGGTGGGAGGTTTGGACAAGCAAATCAAAGAAATTAAGGAAGTCATTGAACTGCCTGTAAAGCACCCAGAATTGTTTGAAGCTCTAGGCATTGCACAACCTAAGGTATATTTCTTAAGGTTGATGGAAAGTTCTTTTGTTAATATGAAAAATTTGAGAAAGTAAGAAAATATTTATATTTTAAAGAACAACAAAATCAGATTCAAACATAAACTGTTGTGTTTAATTTTATTAAATTTGAAATTAAATCATTAAAGGTAAAGAACATTTCTTTTGTATTTATCTTTATTTAATATTTTTTTTAATTTTATGCACCACTGTATAATTGATTGTTGTGCAATATAAATGGCAACCCTGTGCCACAGGCCTTTAGTTTGCTTTAATCTGACCAACAAAACTGGGAGAGTAAAAAAAAATTATACCTCCCAGTTTAATCAGATTAAAGCGATCTAAACACCTGTGTCCTGTGCTACTGCAAACTCAGTCCATCCATGCACATACTCTCTGTGTTTGACAGGGTGTGTTGCTTTATGGACCCCCGGGGACAGGAAAGACCTTGCTAGCCAGAGCTGTAGCTCACCACACAGAGTGTACTTTTATTCGAGTCTCAGGCTCAGAACTCGTACAGAAATTCATTGGTGAGGGATCTAGGATGGTGCGAGAACTCTTTGTTATGGCAAGGTAATCATAAGAAATTTTATTTTAGTTTTCTTGCTAACGGATGGACAAATTCATGTTACTTCTTTAGTGTATATAATTAAAATGTACATTATTTTTTGTTTTAAGGGAGCATGCACCATCCATCATTTTCATGGATGAAATTGATTCTATAGGATCTTCAAGATTAGAAGGAGGTTCAGGAGGTATGATCTGTACTGTTTACAGGGAAAATTTCACTCCCATTTTACTTTTGCCTCTTTCACCCTCTTTGCCAGTGGGGGAATCAAAATGTGATGAATTCAGAGGCTAAAAGTTATCTCTCTTAAATAGGGGATGAAATAGTTTGGATATGTGAATGGGAAAAATAACCCATTTACTGTATTTAGCATGATATCAGACATTTCCGAACGTGAATAACACTCTTAGGGATCCAAAAATTATGTCAGAAATCGTTTTTAAAAAAATGGTAGAAAATATTTTCATTCATGGGGAATTTATACACTACCTCTGTAGGATTGAGAAAGACTTATATTGTGAATTGATTTCTTTTGCTTGTTTGTTTTGTGAATTTTATGTAGAGATGTTTTATTTTTTATAGGTGACTCTGAAGTGCAAAGAACAATGTTAGAATTGTTAAACCAGCTGGATGGATTTGAGCCAAAGCAAAACATTAAGGTAGTAAAGTACTTGTGTGAATTTGTGTTGAGACCCTGAATTATTTCAGGAGAGTATTGATGCAGTATTCTAGTTGCTTTCACTTTCACATAGAAAGTATGCATTGCTTCTTATAGACTATGTTCTGGATACATGTACACAGTTTAATTAATATTTCAGGTGATTATGGCCACAAACAGAATTGATATCCTCGACTCTGCCTTATTACGGCCAGGCAGGATAGACAGAAAAATTGAGTTTCCCCCTCCTAATGAAGAGGCAAGTGTCTAATGTGCCTTACTATCCTCACAGTATTTTCATGCCATTGAAAAGATACATAAATATAATTTTATACAGAATGGTCAATAGATATTATTTTTCTATTCTTCGATAAGCAAGGGGTGCTAGGAAATACACAAAATGCAGAGGGTTAAATTTGATGCTGTCTTTTACAGGCAAGATTAGACATCCTGAAAATTCACTCACGTAAAATGAATTTGACTCGTGGAATCAATCTACGAAAAATTGCAGAAATGATGCCAGGAGCTTCAGGGGCAGAGGTCAAAGTAAGTGGGCCAAATGCTCAGAGTTTATCCAAAGATGGCCATACATATTCAGTAGAACAGGCTTATAAGGAAGTACTATGGACAAACAATTTTAATTTGTTATAAATCTAATAATTTCGTGATATGCTTTAATATACAGAGAAAATTTTGAAAATCATTTTTGCAGTAAACTGTTGCTGTAACTTTATTTCACTGTATGTAGTAAGGTGAAAGAAAACAATTCAAAATTAAGATTTCATTTGAATATTTTCAGGGAGTTTGTACAGAAGCTGGTATGTATGCTTTAAGAGAGAGACGAGTGCATGTCACACAAGAAGACTTTGAGTTGGCTGTAGCCAAGGTATGTTTAAAAATGAATTGTTAACTGGATGTTCAACAAATTAGATTTTCAAGTGACCTCTAGGAATCTGATATCTGTTAGTATATCATCACCTCTGGTGAGGATGTGTAATTCAATAAGGATTGTAGAAAAACAAATAATGACCCAATAAAAAATACATCATAAAAGTATATTTGTAAGAAAAGACATGGATAAAACTGTAGATATTTTTATTTATACATGAAACACAGCAAAATATTTTGAAAAATAAAAATTTTTTGAAGAAAAATCTGTTCAAATTTCTGTGCATGTGTGAGAAAGAGAAAACTTTTTTTCTTCAGGTGATGCAGAAGGATTCAGAGAAGAATATGTCCATTAAGAAACAATGGAAGTAGATCTCCAGTGCTTCATCAGGGTTTACTGCGCATGTGAGCCATATCTATGTCAAAGACAGTTTGACCTCCATCTCAGCCATTTCAATACATGTATCAGTATGTGTCCAGAAAAATTATTAAATTCTTTACAGTTCATTAGTGTTCCTTTTATTCTGTCTCTGATTCACTAGAGACGAGTTACTGAGGAATCATTTTAATTTGTGAGAGTCCGTTTTGTGGATGACCAAAATTTTACTATTTCTTAGGAGGGGGAAGGAGGAGGGAACTCTTACGTGTATAAACAGAAGATTCAATGAGCCAGTGCTTTGAGTTATATTTTGGTGAAATGTAAATGTGTGGGTAAGGGTAATCCATGATCATTGGACCTTCATAAACTATGAAGATTCCACAGTTTATAGTAAATGCTCTATTTTGAGAGCTTTCCAGCTAATTGTCTGGGTAAATGTATACAGTGAAAAACTATAAAATTTGGTGATATAGATTCTGACTCATATTTAGGTCTTGCCATTGGTCTAATAATCTATTATCGTATATTCATATAAAGTGGTGAATATACAGTTGAACTTCAGTATCTCGAACATGGATATCTCGAATACCATGGATATGTCGAAGACATTTTGAAGTCCCATCTACTTATTCCTGAAGTAATTTACCCTGGATATTTCCAATCCTCGGTTACCTCGAAGTATTTTCGCTGTCCCTTCAAGTTTGAGATAACGAGGTTTGACTGTATTAAATATCAGGAATATGCATGAATATGAAACTGATTTTTTTTCCTGCCTCTGTTAAAAATAAGTAAAAGGCTATGATTCATAAATTTTAATATTAAGCAACATGTTGAAAACATAATTAAATTTCAAAAATAGATATGGAGCAAACCAGATGGATGAATAAATAATTAAAAAAATTGACCTCTGCAAGCTTCTCACACTATATAAGCTTAAATTACTGGCACTCAAAATTCCTGTACAGAGACTTGCAGAAAATATCCAGATACATTGGGATGCATATAATGGAACAGTCAATTTGATTTGGAATGGTGGAGGAGTCTTAGATCCTGTAATAAAGAGTCATCATCCTTCATAAATTTTGCTTTTACGCTTATGGTTTAATTTCGTAAAGAAATGTATTCATAATTAAAGCGCACTTAATTTCACTTTACCTTGCAGGACAAAATTTGACAGAAATGCCCTATGAAGGAACAATAGTCATTTTTCCCAACAAAGAGTTATCTCTCTTATCAGAGAGGATAAAATCTACAAACTATCGGCGGTTTTACGAAGTTTGGTTTTGATTTGATGGATAATAAGTTATAAAAATTTCATATGGATAATAAGTTATAAAAATTTCATATGAGATACGAACTTCAAGTCAATTGCGTATTTTGCAAAATAGGAGGTAAACGAATTTTTGTTATATGATAAAATCGATGTGATTAAAAAAAAGAGAATACATAAAAATAATTCATATGTATATATATAATAGCACAATGTACACCAAACGAGTGGCAAGTCTTGTATGTAAAATAAATGCACACTTGAAGAAAACTAGGTTCTTGCAAAAATACAATCCATTGATCTACATTGTAGATAAGAAGTTATTTACAAATTAAAACCCGATTTATTAATGTTTATTTGTTTGTAATTTGTTCTTTTTTATTGAAAAGTGAATGATCAGAAATGATGTTTTTATCTAAAAATAGTTCTAAATGAATTAATTTTACGCTTCTGATTTCAACAATTTTTAAAAGCACTTTTATGTTCTTGCAATTGACCAGTGATTGTCTTGGGTTGAAAACACAAATGTTAACGATCCGAGTTGGATTCCCTGTAGCGAGATGACTGAGAATACCCGTGACCTTGATCTTGTTGATCTGCCCTTTGACCTCCTGACGACGAAGGATGACGCACTACCCTAACATTGTGATTGGACCTTCTTGACCTCGACGAAGTTGTTCTACCACTGCGTGGAGGAGACGGCGATTCTGTGCCCGCGTCATCATCAACGTTTGCTGCACGCAAGACATCCGCCATATCCGCAGCACTCTGATTTAATCGAGAGGCGATTCTCATTAAGTATGCCGACGCAATCTCTTCTCTAGAGTCCTCCTCTCGATCGTCATAAGTGTCGTCTGAAGCGTAAGGTGGAGTGATAGAATTAGCCTGTAGTCGCCGCAGTCGACCAACCGCAGTAGGCTCTGCATCACGTTCCTCTCGCTCCTCTTCTGGATAATCTGGGATATAAGCATGTGGTTGTCGAATCTCCATACTGTCCAGGAGCACCAGCTGATGAGCTGGTACCGGATTACGCAGACTTTGATCGAGCTGTGTAGATACCTCTCCCAAACCACTCATCTCAGACAAAAACTGACATTCGGAAGGAACCTCAAATTTGCATGAAACAAAGATTTCGTCATCGTTTGCTTCAGCAGTGCCTTTGAATTCCGATTCTTTCTCCTGAATCTCTTGCTGGATTTCGAAGAGTTTCTTCAAGTCGTTCACAGATCTTGCTTTTAGGAACTGATCGTACAATTTCTGTAATGTTGAACCCTGTGTTGCAATTTCAACAAACCGAGAATTTATTGTCGTCTTCTGTTCTTTGATGGTATCCTTTAGGATTTTGATCAGCGCTTCTTGTCTCCTTTCAAGTAACAGTCTGAATTCTATGAATGTATCTTTAATGACTCCCCGAAGTTGCCTTTCCTGCAAATCAAGCTGTTTCGATGCGTTGGCCAATCCATCTGTCCGGCCTTTCATTTTGTCAAGGAGCTGTTTGCTACTGTCTGCAATTTTATCGAAACTTTCCTTGCTCTCATTTACAGCTTCTGAAACATCTACTATATTATGACCTTGACCCTCCTTATGATCCAAGACCGTGCAATCTCGGCAAACGGGAAGCAGACATTTTTTGCAAAAGAAGTTCAAAGGCTGGTTTTCATGTTTTGAACACACGTTTTGTGACTTTGCTGATACTTGAGACAAGAAGTCCATCATCTGAATTACTCGATGATCAGATGGGAGAGAGTCTATTTCTGTACGACTTAGAAATATCTCTACCCGGCATTCCGGACACTTCAGCACGCCTTCGTAGGTGTCATCTAGCCACGTGATTTGTCGTCTGGGACGACTGTTTTGCTGATTATGGTCGAAAACCTGCTTCAAGCATGGTAGACAGAAAGTATGATTACACGGGAGGGACTTCGGGTGTCGTTCTACCTGATTGTATTTTTCATTACAGATGTGACATCGCAGAAATTGTTCTTCAAATGCCGCCTCGTCTACAATTAAACTTCTCTTCACTGAGTCTGCAACGTCTTCTCCAGCCGAAGCCATCTTATTTTGTTAATTAATCTAAAATAAAAATTAGCTTAACTTAATCAATGCAAATGACCATGTTATTACTGCATGCACATGTTACATCCATTTTCTAGAGGACTCGGGTTTTGTTATGTCATATTCTTTGTTATTGTTACCAATCATCCTTTTAACTTGTGTGTGCAATTATATAATTGTAAATGTAATAACTGTGACTGTATGTATACGATTATGGACGAAATAAAAAATGTGTATGGTTATAGAAATGCAATATAAAGGTATTCAATCCCTGTTAATGATATCTGCTTCTCAGTATACAAAAATGCATTTTACCCCGATTGCCTGCACAGGATGAAAAGCTAGGTTTCCCATATTTGGAAACCTGATGGAAACAATTTTTTTTTCCCCTACAATATATTTATTAATAACTTTTAGAAAATGCACAATCGATGCTTTTATTTCATGTTTCCATAAAATATATTTGAGATTTGATGATTTCCCCTATATAATATGATTAACTTCGCTTTAACCATGTGCTTTGAAGCAATAACATGGGTGAATACTTTTACATGTAGAACATTACTTTTTGAAATCAATGACATTTTGGTGTGTATTTTCAATTATTTATCAGATAAGGACATACCCAACGTAGTTTTGAACTTAATTTTCTTATTCCCCTGTATAATTTTGTAAGATAAAACTAGTATATTTTTCCTAATTTTTCTTTCAAAAATGCACGATTTTCATCACTTGCTATCTGTTCAAAACTCCTGGTAATGAATGCTAATTTTTTGTGTAAGAATATCTGATGTCATTATGTTTTTATTTGTAGAATAAGTTGGGAAAATTTTCAGTGAGAAAGGTACATTGTAAAGTACATGTACGATGCGTAATTGCTGATTTTCATACCTGAGGATCGGATCACAGTAACCTTAATTATTTAAATATATTTAGTTTTTGGGATCTTCCAGTTTTTCTATTATTTGAAACAAAAACAAAATGTATGTACTTGTTGATAAGATTATTGGCAGTGTGCCTATATGGAGTTTTAAAAAAGTGCAAATTTTATAACAAAATTAAAAACTTCAAAATTACAATTTTTATATATTTAAATTAATTGTAGCTGAACACACACTCTCAATGATTTGTACAACTTCGTCAAAATTTCGTAGTAACCCCCCCCCCCCCTCCCCGAATTCTATGGTCTGGCAAACGTCAGTATAAGTTAGTTCAAAGAAAAACACACGTTCAATGATTTATCGACTTTATTTTTGGCAACTGACCCAAAGCAACAATTGCAGTGACGTTTAAAAGATTGATTGCTTAAAACATATTAAACAATTAACTTTTTCATTCAAATGACGCTGACGTTTCATAAACAAAGTTACTGGTTTATAATTATTGCCTAATAAAGAAAATTCAGTAAAAAAAAAAAAAGTGAAATAGTACTATTTATTTTTCTATTTCAAATCATCGACTTTGAGCAAAAGGTGTATATATTATAAGATTATTTCTCCTTTGTGAAAAGTAGTACTTAAACCATATGTATGTATACATGACTGTATAAAATTCAATTTAAAAAAAAGAAGATTAATATACGTTGATTTCTGAGAACTTTAAGAATATATACATCACAATATTCACATATAATCTGTTCTTTTGTTTATTTACATTGTATGTTAATTCCATATAGGGAATAGGATATACATGGCTATTTAGTGATAAGTAAATTAATTAACAATCTTAATTCTTACCAGGATTAATTCCAGATTGAATTTTCCATTAATTCATAGCTTGGCACCAACAAAGAATTAAGCAATGTTTACATCGAGGTTTGTTTATAAGTAGGGGTCAATGTTTACATCGTGAATCATTATGTTTCCTTGCTGCTATGGGGCTGATGTCAGGTCTTTTTAATAAATTTTAAACAAATTCTGTTAAGATGATTTTATCTTTAACTTGCAGTAGGCCTATTTACGTTTTCAAATATTTATATATGTTTAATAATGTTAAAGATAATCGTAAATATTAATTTTTTTTGAGAAAAAAAATTGTCTTACCCGAAGAAATCAGAGACAGGATTAGACTTGTCTCGGACTATTGATTAGAAGTCTATTGACAAAATGACAAGCCATTTAAATAGGAACGATAACTCTACTGCATACCCAACGTATAAAGCAATTTAAATAATTTAATTTTGCAGTTTCAACAAAATTTAATTTCCCTACACAGAATGTTATTATTATTTGATTTTTTTTATGTATTTATTAATTTTTTTTTTAAAGGGGGGGGGGGGGATTCGACTGGTCCTTTCACAAGCAAATACATCTAACAATTATGGAATCAGACACATAAAAATAATGTAATGTTAATTGTTAAAAATTATTTTATTTTTTTGTTTTTTGATGTATGAAATATGGAGATGAATGTTTATTTATCAAAAAAATTAAACCCACTGTTCGACCCAGCCTACGGCTCGTTAGCTAAGAAATCAATTTTAGTGAAATATGAAAAACAAAATACTGGATATCTATTTTTTTTAATGATTTGAATTTTTATGCACTGAATTTAAGATTAACTGTGTTTATTAAAGTTAGCATATGAGCAACAGCTGCGAATACAGATTTTAAATTGATGAGGATAATTATATAAAGATAATAAAATTGATTTGTACGTTTTTGTCCGTGAAATGAAATGAAGGAAACGGAAAAAGTTATTTACTTGGATTTCCCTCCATAATTTTGGGCATAAGTGAAGATCATACATTAAGCACTTAATCTAATACATCACACACACACACACACTATATATATATATATATATATATATATATATATATATATATATATATATATATATATATATATATATATATACATGTAACTCACTGCTCTTCATTAAATGTTTCATGCTACACTCTACTACAGTGAAACTTTCTTGTGATGGTAAATAACCTTTCTACCAATTATGAACTTAATTTTGCTTGAAATTTTTTTAATATTTTTAATGATTTTTACTTTGCTACACAGCCAGATTAACAACTGTAATATACATGAATTCGAACCCTTTTTAAAAAGTTCCACCTAAATCGTTCTGTAGAAAGGTTAACGTTTATCTAATATGTCAAACGTAATAATTAATAGAGAGGAAGGGATATAGAAAAGTAATATTGATTCTCTAACTGCTGATCTTGGGATCTAGGTTCGCAGAAACTTGGAAGGGCAGAAGTACCAGTGTAAAATAGTATGATAGTATATTCAATAAAAAACAAAGGTAATGTTTACGGAGCCCCCCAACCCCCCAACCCCACCCCAAAAATAAAATGCCTGATGACGTTTGTTATTTTATTTAATTTTTTTTCGTTCTAAGACATTCCTGTAAGGGCTTTCCCCCAACTTTTTAATCTATATTGCCTAGAAAGCACAGTCTTGGATCAAAATTAATGGAGAGCCAGAAATTCCCAGACAAATGGTACTTTAACTACCGGGTAATTATCACAGTCATTCTACAAAAACATGACCAATTAAGAATTTTTCATATCGCTTACAAATTTACCGCTGCAATATCTTAACTATAAATTTAAAGGCCGATTTCAACTCTAAGACTTAACATATACACATGGTTTTGTAAATATTCACCAATATATATGCAGTTAAAGTTTTGATATGAACATAATGTTATGTTGAAAAACGTATTCCACTGCAAATCTTAATGTCGCTTCATTTATTTACAAATTTCAAGATGAAATTTTCAGCCGTAAAATCGTTCCGAGTAGATTGCAATGAATGTTGAAAAATGTTTTTTATCGTATATAAAAAGAAATCAAACCACTTCTCGCAAAGAAATGCATAGATCTCCTTTCATGCGAATTCATAAGCATGTCGCTTAAAATCTATTAACTTCCGTAACGATTTTGTTTTAAATTTCATGCATATATATATATATATATATATATATAGAATGTAGATTTCAAAAAGACCTGAAACTTATCTGAAAGTGACCACGGAACCATATATTATCGATTGCTATTTGAAACAATTATTTTTTTCATGTTTTTTACTCTGAATTGGTCCATTTATCGTAGAATGACTGTAATGCTATTTAGGTTGATGTTACTTTGAAAATGTGGCCCACCACGAGAAGCGTATGTTTAAGGCATAATTGAGCAATCAACTCCTCTTACATTCAACTGGAGTAAAAAAAAAAGAAATCGTGTATCGGCAGCTGATACATTATAATGTGAAATCATTCTAAACATTCTGGAAACAAACAAAGGGAGGGAGAACTTCTGTCATACAATAATTAAGCACCCTACCTAGCTATAACAGGTACCAAGTTTTGATAAAACCTTCCTCTAACATGTACCATGCAGATTATAATGATCCCCCCTCCTACAGGTATCAGAGTATGAAGCTACCTACCTGTAATAGGTACCATATAACGAGGCTATCTACCTGTAACAGGTATATGTACCAGATTAGGAAGCTTCCTACCTGTAACAGGTACCAGATTATAAAGCACCCTTATACTGTATCAGGTAACCACAGGCACCTAACGTTACTTATTTTTCTTTAAATAAAAAATATACCTCCTACCTAATTATTCACAAATTGGGTAGGAGTATATATTTCATATTATTTAAAGAAAAATAAGTAACGTTAGGTGCCTGTGCAGGTACCCGATTATACCTGTAACAGGTACCTGATTCTGAAGTACCCTACTTGTAAGGTATCAGATGACAAAACTACTATCTCTATCAGGTACCAGTTTATGAAGTTGATTACCTCAATAAATACCAGATTACAATCAATCTACCTCAACAGGTACCTACCTTCATCAGGTACGAGACTTTGAAACTGCCTCCAGATTATGAACTACCTCTAATATAGATCCAGATTATAAAGCACCTACTTCTAACAGATACGTAATTTTGAAGCTAGCAATCTCATAAATATCAGATTATGAAGCTATCTATTTCTAAACTGTACTAGATTATGAAGTACTGTTCCAGATTATTAAACACCTAACTATGTCAAGAACCATAGTAGAAATAATTTGGATCATTTCTTAGATGTTATCAAAAACGAACGTCCTCTGACTGTACTTGAGTTGTTTTTACAGACTATCACTACCCCCACCAGACCCCCGCTACAAAAAAAATTAATATCAGGTTGTCTCTGACAACAACAACATGTAGCGTTAGCTCCTTTAAATTCCCATCTCCTCGTGGAATTTTCAACATTTTCAGCATGATCTCTATAATTGTTGGCATCAATAGAACAGAAGCATACATGTACATGTCACTAGACAGTTAAAGTTATAGCTTAATTGTGTTAATTTCAACATCAATATATTAGCTTAAGTAAACATACTTATTTTTGTCCAAATAAGTTAATGGAGATAGAAGAGTGGGGTAGTATGTATGCTAGTCTCTAACAGAGTAAGAATAGTTCTAAATACATGTATACAATACAAGAAACATTGCTTTTGCAAGCTTTAAGCCGAAATATGCAACAGTAATGTATCCATGATCACAGCGATGTAATATTGGATTTATAAGCTGAGAGCAAATACTCTGAAAGTTTTTTTTTTTTTAATGCAAAATTTCAAATTTTTAGAAATAAATGACCCATTTTTAAATCCATGAAGACAGGAATTTTGGAGAGACACTTATACATCAACATTATGTACATGTACTTTGTACGAAAACCTATTAGGATCAAACTACGGTAAAAAAAAAAATTGAAAGGCGTTATAACGCCTTTTTAAAAGGGGTAATGATGCCTTTTGGAAAGGCGTAATAGCGCCTTTTAGAAAGGCGTAATAACGCCTTTTGGAAAGGCGTAATAACGCCTTTTAGAAAGGCGTAATAACGCCTTTTAAAAAAGGCGTAATAACGCCTTTTAGAAAGGCGTAATAATGTCTTTTTCACGCCTTTTGGAAAGGCGTTATAACGCGAAAAAAGGCGTAATAACGCCTTTTGAAAATGCGTTATAACGCGGAAAAAGGCGTAATAACGCAAATAAAGGCGTAATTACGCCTTTTCAAAAGGCGTTATAACGCGAAAAAAGGCGTTATTACGCCTTTCCAAAAGGCGTTATTACGCCTTTCCAAAAGGCGATAAAAAGGCATTATTACGCCTTTCTAAAAGGCGTTATTACGCCTTTTAAAAAGACGTTATTACGCCTTTCTAAAAGGCGTTATTACACCTTTCCAAAAGGCGTTATTACGCCTTTCTAAAAGGCGCTATTACGCCTTTCCAAAAGGCATCATTACGCCTTTTAAAAAGGCGTTATTACGCCTTTCCAAAAGGCGTTATTACGCCTTTCCAAAAGGCGTTATTACGCCTTTCCAAAAGGCGTTATTACGCCTTTCTAAAAGGCGTTATTACGCCTTTCTAAAAGGTGTTATTACGCTTTTCCAAAAGGCGTTATTACGCCTTTTAAAAAGGCGTTATTAGGCCTCTTTTTTTTTTTTCAATACATGACTTACTTAGCCCACCCTGGGGGCTGATTATAATTAGATTTCTAGGAAAAAAGATTTTTAAATGTGTAAAATATTTTCAGTGTTAAACCAACTTAGTCCTTCTCTGATGCCAGACGCTTCTACCAAGGTGTATGGATTTCAGAAATTTTTTTGAAGGCTAATTGCTCATTATACCTATGCAAATACTTTGCCTGTTTTTTACCAAGAGGAGAGAAAAATATTTCAAATTTGACATGAATTCTTAATTCGTGGCTAGCAAAGTCCAAAGATGGTTCTGCCTATATCCTGGATTTTTAAAAGTAGAGTGTTGACTTCTCTTAATATGCATG